ATATGCTAATTATGCAGAGATTATTTCACTTGAAGGTGTCCCATAATTACTGCAATTCTGTTTCATTTTTTCTTATTCTTTTTTTGTTTTTGCTCCTCTGATTGGTTAATTTTGTATGTTCTGTCTTTGAGTTCACTGACTCTTTCCTTTGTTTGGTCATGTATGCTCTTGGAGCTTTCTACTGAATTTTTCAGTTAACATTTTCTTTATTTCTAGATTTTTTTTTTAATTGATTCTATTCCTTTGTCAAGTTTGTCATTCTGCTCCTGGATTGCTTTCCAGATATTATTTAATTTTCTATCTGTATTTTCTTGTGACTCCCTGAACATCTTTAAGAGGATTACTCTGAATTCTCTGTCAGGCATTTTATAAATTGGCTTTTCTTCTGGTAACTTATTGGTTGCTTTTGGTTGTATCATTTTTCTCTGTTATTTCTAAATATTTGTATCTTTATATTGATGCCTGTGCATTTGAGAAGACAGCTACCTCTTCCAGATTTTGTTGATGTTCTTTGGTGGTGTTAGATCTTTACTGCTCAATATCAGAACTTTGACTCTGGTCTGTGTTTTTTTCTGTTCTGTGGTAGATTAATATCAACCACCACCACTTAAACACTGTACTGGAACTAGTTTGCTATCCTGCCATTGATTTCAGGATTGTGGGAAACTTACTGTGGTGACTGGAACTTGAATGCTGTGCCTGAGCTAAATTGCTGCCTTGCCATTGTTTCTCAGTCTGGGGAAATTTTTTTATGTGGACTGGATATTAATTCAGCTTTTTAGTCACTTCTGGGTCATATGGGGGCTCCATAAAAACAACTGGGCTGTGTCCAGCCTGGGGATGAGTTTTTTTCTGCAAACTGTGCTCCCTGTAGTTCTGTCATACTGACTGGTCTCCACTGTGTAGTGCCTGTGCAGATTAAGAGGCAGATTAGCTGCCAACAATGCATCCTGATGCACTCGTGGTGGATCAGTCCCCCACCCCCTGCACTCCAATTTTTCTCCTTGGGCAAACCCTGCACAAGTCCCCCACAAAGACACAGAGACCTGGGCAATCCATACACCCACCTCTTATTCTCTCCCCTCACTCTGAGACAGCAGGTTCAGTGGCCTTCTCAGCGTGGAGTGAAATACTGGTCCTGAAGGTTGGGGATGGGGCTCTCTGAAGAAATCCTTCCTCCCATCCAGTGCAGACCTCCCTCTTATGCAGGTGCAAGAGAACTTTGCAAGTAATTATGCTGGCCTGGGAGATAGGATGGAGCCCTCAATTTTTCTTAACAATGGTCACGACACCCTTCTTCCCTGCAAGCTCCAAGTAGCTTCACAAAAAAAATCCCTGTGCCAGCTTTGCAGTCTCCAGGTAACTGCTCCATGCACTGTGCCACTCTGGCCAGTGGAATGGCTGGGGCTGGGACTGACTGGAGTGATCCCTCCTCCCATTCACCATGGCCTTTCATGCCTTTGAGGACTCAGTGAGTCTCTCCTCCTCTCCCCCCAAGTTCCAATGGTTTTGGAACAGCAGTTCCAATGGAATAGCAGTTTTATGTTTTAATTTTGTTGGTTGATCTCTTGTGGGGGGAGTAATGGTGGGGATTATCTAGTCTGCCATCTTGCTGATATCACCAGTTATCCATCAGTACTGTATACTTTAATAGTAACAGCATGCTTTAAATATTATGGCTTTGCAATATGTCTTAATATCAGGTAGTGTGAATTCATTCTCTCTGTCCTTTTAGAGAATTGTTTAAGTAATTGGTGAAGTTTTTCTTCCATGTAAGTTTAGAATTATTTCTATTCCATCCCAAGTCTTATTGGTATTTTATAAGAACCTCATTAAAATTATAGATCACTATAGAGACAGCTGACATCCTTATCATGTTAAATCTTTCTTTTATAAATATTGTACATTTCTCCACTTACTCAGTTCTCTTTTTAATGTTCTTTTTTGTGTTTCCCATAAATGTTGTATGCAGTTTTTGCTAGGCCAGTTACTAGTTTTTTTTACAGTTTTAGTTGCTTTGATATGTTATATTATTTTCTAATTGGGTATTACTGGTACGTAGGAAGGCTTCAGATTTTTTAAATATCCAGAAATCTCATTGAGTTCTTATTAGTTCTAATAATTGTCTTCAGTTTTTAATGTAAATAATTATATAATCTGCCATAAGTGACATATTTGTCTCTTTACTTCCAGTCTGCAAGTCCTTAATAGCTCTTTTTTCTTTGTCTTATCACAGAATTTGTCAGTATTTTCACTATTACAACAAGCAGTAGACATTGCAGCCATTCCTTTTCTTGTTCCTAGTCTTGGATTATTTCCAATTTTTCATGGTAATAAATATTTTGATTATTATATATTTATTTGTATTATTTGTACATATTTATAATATTTGATTACATATTTATAAGCTATGTCTCTAACCATGTCATTAATTATAGTAGTCCTCCCTTAACCTAGAGGGATATGTTTCAAGGCCTCTATTGGATGCCTGAAACCACAGATAGTACTGAACCCCATATAGACTATGGTTTTTCCTATACATACATATATACCTATGGCAAAGTTTAATTTATAAATTAGGTGTAGTAAGAGATTAACAATAACTAATAAGTAAATAGAACAATTATAACAATATACTGTTCACAATTTCATGGATAGCAGATTTATTCTTACCATGGATCTTAGCAACTTCAGCATAAGATTTTTTTCTTTCCCTATTAAATTGAGAACTTCCACCTTTTCACTTAAAGGAAGCAGTTTATGGCTTCTCTTTGGCATACCCAAATTGCCACCATCACTGTTCATGCACTTCAGGGCCATTATTAAGTAAAATAAGGGTTACTTGAACATAAACACTGAGATCTGTCCACAGTGATCTGATAACACAGACAGCTATTTTTTTTTTTTTTTTTGTCTTTTTCCGTGTCCGGCAACGGATCGCAACCCTCAGTGTTGCCCCCGCACCGGAACCAGGGACCGGCAACGGGACCGCACCGGAACCAGGGACCGGCAACGGGACCGCACCGGAACCAGGGACCGGCAACGGGACCGCACCGGAACCAGGGACCGGCAACGGGACCGCACCGGAACCAGGGACCGGCAACGGGACCGCACCGGAACCAGGGACCGGCAACGGGATTGCAACCCTCGGCGCTGCTCCCGCGCCTCGCTCAGCCAGTGAGCAGGAACCGGTCTGTATGTGGGATCCGAACCCTCGGGCGGGAGCGCCGCCACGCTTCCCAAGCGGCGCACTATCCAGTGCGCCACCGGGCCGGCCCCACAGACAGCTATTAAGTGACTAATGTGTAGGTGGTGTATACAGCGTGGAGATGTTGGACAAAGTGATGATTCACATCCCAGGTGGGACAAAGTGGGATGGTGAGAGATTTAAAACTCATGACTTTATTTCTGGAATTTTCCATTTAATATTTTCAGGACCTCGGTTGACAATGGGTAATTGAAATCATGAAAAGTGAAAATGTGGTTAAAGGGAACTATTGTATTTTCCAAGGATTGCTGGATCAGAAGACTTTCACATTACTCACATTACAGATTTTGAAACATTTTGCCAAATAGCCTATAACTCGATGGTCAATTTTAGATGTCAACTTGGGTAGGCTATAGTACCCAGTTATTTAATCAAACATTAATCTAGGTATAGTTGGGAAAGTACTTGTGATTAATATCTACAATCAGTTGACTTTTGTAAAAATTATCCTGGGTAATCTGGGTGGGCCTGATCCAATCAGTTGAAAGCTCTTAAGAGCAGAACTGAGGTTTCCCTAAGAAGAAATTTCGCCCAAGTTTCCATCCTGGGCTTACTGATGGCCTGACCTCCATATTTTGGACTTGCTTAATCAGCCCCTATGTTCACATAAACCAATTCCTTGCAATAAATCTCTTACCCTCTGTATCCTGACGCCATCCTGGGCTTACTGATGGCCTGACCTCCATATTTTGGACTTGCTTAATCAGCCCCTATGCTCACATAAACCAATTCCTTGCAATAAATCTCTTACCCTCTGTATCCTGACTGATACAAAAACACTCCTGCAGCAAAGCATGAGACTGCCCTTGGTCATTTGCACAGTAATGTGAATAGTTTCAGATGCTTACTGGAAAACGAATTTTGATAGAAGTACAATTCTAAAGATCTCTAGCAGAAATTATTAGCATACCATGTGTGTGTGTGTTTATGGTGTGTGGGGGGGGGGTAAGAGAAGGGATAAAAACTGTAAAATACTGTGAAGCTGAATGATTCCAGCTAATTTCACAATTACTCCTAGGGCTTTAGTATGTTACTACTAATAAAAGCCATATTTTATTGAATGCCTCTAATTCCAACTAGTGGAGCAGGCTCTTTATGAAACATCGTGTGGAATTTATCTATAATCCAGTACCCACAGAGCAACCAAAATGACCTTTTAAAATGTAAATCAGATCACATTACTCTCTGGGCTTAAAACTTCCCAACAGTTTGCCATTGCACTTAGAATAAAATTCAACCTTTTGATCTTAGCCATATGATTCTATTGCTGCCTACCTCTCTAAATGTATTTCCCCCATTCTCCTTCCCCCTCTACCCCCACACCCAGGCCACATTGACCTTCTTTCTTTTCATGGACCATACCACCGTCCTTCCTATGGGCCTTGGGATTTCCTGTTCCCACTATTTTGGGCACTCTTCCTCCAGATATTCCCAGGACTGGCTTTCTGGGGAAAAGTCATGAAATATCTCCTCAGAAAGGACCAACCTAAGTGGCTCAGTTTATTCAGGTAGTTTATCCCATTGCCATGTTTCTTTTACTTTTCCTTCAGAGTAGTAAGCACTGTCTGAAAATGATCTAATTTATTGCACTTGCTTATTAATATTCATCTGCCCCCACAGAAGAACAATATTTATTTATTCAGCTCCTACTATATGCCCACAGCCCACTCATTTAATTTTCACATCAATCCATAATGTAGGTATTATCAGTATTCCGATGTTATTCAACTACCTGAAACTCAGATGAAGTGGCCTCACTTGCAAAAGCATCTCACTTGCCAGCTCCGGAAAAAATCCCCAGGACATTCTGATGAGCCCTGTATAGACCAGCAGCAGCTCTCCAGGGATGTGAGAAATGTAAACTCTCAGTCTTCACTACTGACCCAATGAATCGGAATCTGCAGTTTAACAAGATCCCCAGGTAATTTAAAAAAAAAAAAAAAAAAAAGATGACCGGTAAGGGGCTTAATCTGACTTGGTGTTGTCAGCACCATGCTCACCCAGTGAGCTAACCCGCCATCCCTGTGTGGGATCCGAACCCTCGGCCTTGGTGTTATCAGCACCACACTCTCCCGAGTGAGCCACAGGGTCGGCCCCAGGTAATTCCTAAGCACAAAGTTTAAGCAGCACTAGTCAAGGACAAACCAAGTTCTTAAGTCTCACCTCTAATTCAACACACACACACCTGTACTCCAAGCCCAGGAAGCCAATCACACGACAGGGAGTAGTGAAGTCCAAAGGTCTTCCTTCGTTGCTGCTGGCCTAGCAAACACGAATCCCTCTCGTCTGGCACGGCCAGCCCCACCACTGCCCACCTCCTTTTAGTTCTCCGTCACTGACACAGCAGCTGCTAGCTGTGCCTAGACTGAACAGAGCTTTGTAAACTTTAAAGCAGAGGAAGGAGAAATCGGAGGATGGAACAGTCACTGCCCACAACAGCCTTGCCTTCTGCCCTTAAAAAAAATGGCGCCCGGCACAGATGCACTTCCGGCCACGGAGCCAAACAGAATAGGGGAGAGTAAAAGACCGGAAGTGACCGCCCTTTACCTTTCCTCCCGCCTCTTCTCCGCGTCCAGCCTCTCTCGGGAGGATGAGGCAGTCTGGGGGCTGTGGCTGAGCTGTGGTTGACGGGTGACAAGTCGTAGCCGGGATAGTGTGAGTGCCTGCCGCCTCGAACTCCGGCCCGTTTGCGACGCTCGGGGTGACCTTCGCGCTGCCAGGGACAGGGGCGAGGAGTAGTGCGCGGAGTGCTCTGTGACGAGGCGCCTCCGCCACGGTTCTGCGGAGAAGGATTGAGCGAACAGGGTGGCGAGTGTGGACAGCGGCCAGGTCGGGCCCGCGGAGCCCACGGGGCCGGATCCCGGGTGGGGGAGGAGGGCTGTGGTGGGTCGGGGCTGGGGCCGGCGCGGGAGGGGCAGCGGCGGGGCCTGACCCTGAGTCCTGCGGGCGCGACTCCCGCGCCGGCGTGGAAGGCCTTTCCCCAAGGTAGGTGTTCACACCGGCCGGACGGGTCTCTGCCCTCACTCTGCTCTTGCTACGCACGCACCAGGAGTAGACTGGGGTGTGATCGGTTGTCTTCGGTGTCTTTTTCATGACAAGCCGCCAGGGAAAGTTTTTTAAAAACATATTCCGTGAAGTTTTTGCTGCTTTGGTTGGAAGCACTAATACCTCCTTTAAGCCTTGCCTTCTTGTTTGTTATAACGAAAACTACTTCCTAAATGTCAGTATTGCATTGTGATCTTGGAATTTTATTTCCTCGCTCTTCATATCCACCTCTGCCCACCTAGAGCACAAGGTTGAGAAGTTTAGTAACTTGTTTTTATGAACTTGGCTTCCTCTCACTAACCCAGTTCTCTGATGTGCTTGAGTCACGTGTAGTCACAGCTTAGCCACAATTAGTTTCGTCTTCGCCAAGGGGAAATAAAGTAGAAATTGCAACCAAGATTTTGACCAGTAGATATCACTTATTTTAGTGAAATATCATTCAAAAGGAGTCTTTAATTGTTTGACCAAAACACTTCTCCCCAAAAAACAATTACCTAAGAATATTTTGGCAGTTTATTCCATTGGCGAGTTAGAAGAGCAAGAATAGAATGACAAGCAAAAGTTAGTGTAATGATACTTAAGCCAGTTTTTTTATTAACTAAATTGGACATATTTTATTAATGCTCTAGAAAAGTATGATGAGATAAAAAGCTTAAAGTTAATTACATGAACAGTGTTTATCTCTAATTAGGACCATTCAGATAGCCAAATGAATCTTCAAGTCTTTACTGTCAAAAAGAGGTGATAAGAATATAAAGGTCAGGTTTTCTCCTATTCCTGAAATATAAACACAACAGAAAGGTTTTTCTACTTTTTTTTTTTTAAAAAAAGATGACTAGTAAGGGGATCTTAACCCTTGACTTGGCGTTGTCAGCACCACGCTCTTCCAAGTGAGCCAACCGGCCATCCCTATATAGGGATCCGAACCCGTGGCCTTGTTGTTATCAGCACCACACTCTCCTAAGTGAGCCATGGGCTGGCTCTAGGTTTTTCTACTTTTTAAACCCAGGCTTTTCCAGCTACCTCCATCCATGGAGGAGGAGAGGTTAGGGCACTGGATAGTGCGCCGCTTGGGAAGCGCGGCGGCGCTCCCATCCGAGGGTTCGGATCCCACATGCAGACTGGCTCCCGCTCACTGGCTGAGCGAGGCGGAGCGAGGCGCGGGAGCAACGCCGAGGCTTGCAGTCCCGTTGCCGGTCCCCGGTCCGGTACGGGGGCAACACTGAGGGTTGCAGTCCGTTGCCGGACACGGAAAAAAGACAAAAATAAATAAATAAATAAATAAATAAATAAATAAATAAAACGGGGGCAACACTGAGGGTTGCAATCCGTTGCCGGACACGGAAAAAAGACAAAAATAAATAAATAAATAAATAAATAAAACGGGGGCAACACTGAGGGTTGCAATCCGTTGCAAATAAATAAATAAATAAATAAATAAATAAATAAATAAATAAATAAATAAATAAACAAACCCAGGCTTTTCCAGCTACCTCCATCCATGGAGGAGGAGAGGTTAGGGCTAGGGTGGGAAGATACCCTCAACCTGACAGGAATGGGATACAATCTGTAATTCTCTTTTCTCTGCCTTTTCATGTTAAATGTGTTTTCACTCCAACCCCGTGGGAAGCAGACAAGAAGTGGAAAAGTGGCAAGGTCTTTTCTAGCTTGGAGATCTTGAACCATATTTTAATTTCTGAGGGGTTCCCATTCAAACTTCACTCTCTTAGCATATGGATCCTCCGTCTCAACTCAAGATCTGAAGATCCATTCAGGATGGAGCAATAATAAGTGGGTATTAGGTTCTAGTTTCTCTCTTTAGAAATGTATTTTTGTCTCAGGTAGGTAGTTTATATTTTTGAGACCTATGTGAATAATATTGAGTAGGCCTTTGCAATTTTTAATATATTTGAAATTCTTTTGGGCAGGATTCTCATGAGCCACTGCGATGGGGCATGTACTTTTTACCAAATGTAGGTAGTTTATATTTTTGAGACCTATGTGAATAATATTGAGTAGGCCTTTGCAATTTTTAGTATATTTGAAATTCTTTTGGGCAGGATTCTCATGAGCCACTGCGATGGGGCATGTACTTTTTACCAAATACTCAGATTCTGTGGGCATTTTTATTTTTCAAATGGCATGTTAATAGAGAACAAAGCCAGAATATATGCAATCTAGGTATTCCATTATGTAATTAACTCAATATTCATTTATATCACTTTTTCTAATACCATTTCAATTTTGCAGCAACATGTAACAATCCAGAACTTGATCGAATAGCCACTGAAGATGATCTGGTAGAAATACAGGGGTATAAAAATAAGCTTTCCATCATTGGTGAGGTGCTATCTCGGAGACACATGAAAGTGGCATTTTTTGGCAGGTAATCCTTTATTATTTTAAGGTTAGTATATTAGTCTGTTTCTGTTGCTTATCACAGAAATACCTGAAACTGGGTAATTTATAAAGAAACTATTTATCGTTTACAGTTCTGGAGGCTGGGAAGCCCAAAGTCCAGGGAACATGCCTGGTGAGGGCCTTGTCGATAGTGACTCTAGACAATGCTGCAGAGTCTCACATGGAGGATGGTGGAGCTGAGAGAGAGCTAAATCCTCCTTCCTCCTTTTAAATCCCTCAGAACCATGACCATGACAACCATTTGATAATCAATGGATTAATCCATTTATATGGGTCTGGGCCTCACAGTCTAATCACCTCTTCAAGGCCCCACCTTTCAGTTACCATAACAGGATTTCCCATCCTCTTAACACTGTCACAGTGGGGGTTAAGTTTTGGGGGGACATTCAGTCCATAGCAGTATAGTTTCCAGAAATTAGCTTTTGTTGGTCATATCCCCATTTTTATGTCTGATGTTTCAGCAAGTTATATTCCTTCCTTTCCCCACTGCCACATGACAGTTACAACCTGTGTTGTTAAAGGTATTAGCATGTAAAAGAATTTGTTCAAGTTAGCTAGCTCCTTGTACGAGATGAAGCTTTATGAAGGTCAGTCCTATTTTTTTTTTTAACCTTTTAAGGATTCTCATCTCTAAAAAATTGGCTTTTAGCCAGTTATAAGAATGGAAATATAGATAAAAGAGTAAGTCACAAATTATGCTTATGGTTTAAGTTTACATTAATTACCAGGTATGTTTTCTAGAAAGATTGTCAAGTCCATGATTCCCAAAGAGAGTGTATGAAGCACCATATGTCAGTGTAACTTGTCAGGAATGTGAATGATCTCTGCCACTTCACATTCATTTGACAATCATTTGTTAACTACCTGTGCATCACACTCTGTTAGGCACTAGGGATGCATAGACAAGTAACTATCCACATACTTGGTTACTCAAATATCATGTGCTAGATACTATCAAAGGATGAAATTACAACAAACTTAGTTTGAAGATCTCAATTGGCTTTATTGTGATTTTAGAATCAGGCAATACTTCATTCCATAAAATAGAATAAATGTTCCAATGAGCTGAGCAAAAAAGATTGACTTTATAGACAGAAAAAGGGGTGAAGAAAGCAAAAACAAAGAACGAAAAGCATATTGGTTATTTCAAAGTTACTTTCCTTGTAAGGCAGAGACAGGGAGACAGAAAAATATAAAAAACTGGTTACTTTTGTGTAAGGATTAAATAGAGGGAATGTTATTGTCATGCCTGTTGAAGATTTAAACTGGCCTGTTTGGGAAATTTGCTGTTATTTCTTCTGATTTTTCAGGAGAGATTAGACAGAGAACAGAGATCAGGAAGGTCAGACAACAACTTAGTTTGGGTTTGGTGACTTAGAACTTTAGCAGGGGTGACTCCATTTTGGTTTATAGTCTGGTACATTGGGGCCTAGCTCAGAAGCAGTCCAAAACAAT